GGCAGTGAAACCATCTGAGCCTGGGGCTTTGTGTGGGTTCATTTGAAATAGGGCTGTTTTGATTTCTTCTGGGGTTGGTGTGGTGATGAGAGAAGCCTTTCCATCCTCAGGGATTTGGTTTGGGGGAAGCTCTTCAAGCCAATCTCAGTTGAAATCTTCATCATCTCCACTGATCTTCAGGATTTGATGCTTGAGAGCTTCTACAATCTGATTGGGATCTGAGACCCATTTCCCTTGTTTATTTCTAATCCATTCTAATCCATTCCACTTGTGCCTGTAATTTGTTCTTTGATGGAAGAATTCAGTGTTTTTATCTCTCTCTAGCAGCCATAGTTCCCTTGACTTTAGTGTCCGGAGTTTCTCTTCATACTTCAACCAGTTGTTGTATTGGTCCTCTAGTTCTTTGAACTTGCTGCCTGAGTGTTTCCTTTCCTCCAGAAGCTCAACTTTTGTCTTTTTTAGGGTGGCGGTGGTTTCCCCAAAGGTCATTTTGTTCCAAAGCCTTAATTCCTTTTAACTTGGTTGCTATTATGTATGCTCTTGATCCTCTGGTTTCCTTCCTCCACTGCTCTTGAATGATTCGGCTACATCCCTCATGTTCTGCCCACATTGGAAGGAAGTGAAAGGGTTTCTTCCCCCCATGGCAGGGGGATGTGGTGAGTATAAGGGGGTTGTGATCTGAATTTATTGCAGGTAGGGCATAGAGTTTGGCATTTTAAAACCAGTCCACCCACTGTGGACTTGCATAGGATCTGTCAAGCCTTTCACGGACTTTCCTCCTCCCTGATTGTTTGTTCGTCCATGTGAAATAAGGGCCAGAACACCCTAGATCTAGGAGGCTGAAGTGCTCTATGAAGTTTTGTAAGGGTTGTGAAGTGTGAACTCTGCTGCTTGTTCCCTCATAATCCGAGGTGCAGGTTATATCATTAAAGTCTCTAATTGCTATCCATGGTGTGTTCAGTAGGATGGACCAGCTGCGGTTTTGGGGGTTTGATTCAACTTTTACCTCTATATGTCTTTGGGTGGAGTCGATTATTTTGATGGCAATATTGTCTTTCCAACCAGAAAGAAGTCCACCACCGAGTCCCCTTGCTCCAATGTTACAAAAGTTGTAGTAGTGTAGTTTTCTGTAGAGGGTTTCAGATTCTTGATCATTCATTTTGGTTTCAAATAGGAAGATAATGTCCGAACTCCAAACTGAAATCCAGTTCCTTAGAGTCCGGTGGGTTTCTCTTCCTTTCCCCCCCTAATGTTCCAGGCCAAGATTCTCATCTTATTGTTTATTAGTAGAAGGTGCAAATCCAAATAGTAAAACAAGATATAATAGTAAGATTTCAGTGTAAGTAAAATGGATAGAATTATTGCATAGAAGGTGTCGAGTACCTTGACCAGTATAGAGGTAATGGGAGTGGCTTGCTTGAGGCAGGGTCCTAGTGCTTGATCCACGTGGCATCATCCAGCATGTGGAGAGGTTCAAGTTGTGATGGGCTTTGCTCAGTTTGGGGTTTCTATGGTCGGGCCGAGGTCGTAAGGACCGAGTTCTCTTTCTTGAGGGTAGCTATCCAGCTTCGGATGTAGGCCCCACATGTCATCGGTTGTTCTTCATTCCTCCCAATGTTGCTTGGATCATGATTAACAAAAGTTGGGGTAGAATTCATCATTGTGACTTTATAACGCGGGGGTCTTCCTCCTCTATTTTTATTATTTTGGGGATTAATGATTACTTTGGAATTCAAATTGGATTCAATACCCTAGACTTGGCCTGTAATCACCGCCATGCTGGGTATGAATTTCGAGACTTGGCTTTCTTTCATCTTCTTCACCCGAGTCAGGGACTGAGTCAACTCAGCACGCTTCCTCTTTGACATTTCACCTCCTTCGACTGGCTTGGTCTCATACTTATGGGATGCCATACTTCCTTGCCAGTTCCTTTGGTTTTCCGGTGCCTCTAGTAGCCTTGGCCTTTTTTTCTAGGAGTCTGTCTTCTGAATCCTCATCTGAACTAGCATCTCGTCGAACTATTTGTGCCTGTCTACATGCGGCCGTTGTAGCTTGGTAAGTTGGAATTTTGAGTGGTTTCTCTGGTTTAAATTTTGCCTTTAACCAATCTCTTGGAGCTTCTATCGAACGGTTCTCCAATTCAGAGAAAATCTCTTCGTGGGTGATACCTTGTGGGATTTGCCTACATTTCTTCCATTGATGCCCAACCAGGCCACAGTAGGAGCAAAGACGGGTGAGACCTTTGTACGCAAAGCAAATCCATCTTGGACTTCCTAAGTGCTTGAGGAAGAAGCCTTTGAAGAGGGGTTTCCGTAGGTCAACCTCTACCCGCATACGAATCATCCTTCCTCGAGAGGGTTTCCCTAGGGTTATAGGACTTGGGACGTCTAACACTTTTCTCGCTGCACTGGCGATCAACCTACAGTTTGTTTCTAAGATGTGGCTACAAGGGATGTTGAAGAGAACCAAGCCCTTGTCTCTCATCTTCAATCCCTCTTTTCCAAGATGAGGTTCTCTGTACATGTGGAGCGCCTTTGTCGGACTTGTCGATATCATATTCGTATTGGCCAGGGGGGATACGGGATATGCTATGATTAAAGACGTATCCTTTGAATCGTGCGTATCGATATGAGTTGACGTGTTTCTACTTGCGTGTTTACATGTAAAAATTGCAACTAGAGCAATTCGAACCCAAATCACCTAGCGCTAAAGCCTAACATACACATGTAATGCAAACAAATAACATACATTTGTATTCAATAATTCAAACTAAATAAAAAGTAATATTCAAAACTAATATTTTGTAAACTAATAGAATAAATAATTTCTTAAATCCACATTTATATCAAAAAATGGTTTTTAATCTCAAGAAATTTATACAAATAAGGATACTAGTAATAGAATAATTATTTTAGTACTTAATATTTATAAATTTGAACATGATATGTATCTTAAAATTTTATAAATTGTTAATTAATATTTTAATTTGAATTAAATAAAATCATTTATATTATTTATAAAAATAAAAACATTATTTACAAAATACTCAAGAATATAATACAAATTGAATTTGTCAAATCCATTAATCTATATTTATATCAGAAAATGATTTTTTATCTCATAAAATTTATGGAAATAAAAATATTAATAATGGAATACTTATTTTAGTAGTTAAAAATTATGAATTTGCATATGATGTGTATCTTAGAAATTTTAATATAATTGATATATTTTTATAAATTTTTAATTGATATTTTAATTACATTTTATAATAACTTGTTTATTGTTTACAAAAATAAAAATATTGTTAACTAAACATTTGAGAATTAATTTTTAGTGGACTTTTTAGTTAATATTAAAAATTAAAAATACAAAAATAGAAAATAATCGATATAATAATTCACATATAATAGTTGTATATGCTCCGTGCCTTGAAATTTAGTAGAAAATAACATAATAATAGATTTATGCTTGTATTAATTTGTAAAAAATATATATAATAGGTTCTAGGATTCTTGATTGATACATTAAAAATTAAACGTAATGTTATTAATATATTTATGGAATTTAATTATATGCATTTTTCAGATACGGAAACTGATGAAGCGCAATCCGGTCGGTCTTAGCTGTCAACGACCTTGCCTCTGAACTGAGTAGCAGAGAACCTGAAACGGAGAAGATGAGGAAGCTCCGGGGGGAACCCGGTGTAAAGGCTCCGAAGCTTAAGTTAGAATCCTTCAAAGGCAAGGTAAAACCAGATAGCGCAAAGTTTGCATACCTCCTCTTTGGGGGTGGAGAGCCTTTTATAACCACCTCACGCACTCACTCCTAGACTCCTGTCAGGTCGGGAATGAGTATTTCCGTGCTTCTTCCAGTTCGGGCGTCATATCCTCTGCTGGGGCAGAACCGTCACTACTCCTTTTGTTGGAGCCGTCTCTGTAACTGGAGGTAGCGGTGACAGGTGACGGTGGTAGGTGGCCATTTGAAATGCAGCCGTCAAGCGTCAGATCCCAAGTCAGTCAGGTGCGCCGCCCCTGGATACGGGCTCCTTCGGTGTCAGGTATGACGCGGTTCGTCCAGTTTAATACTCCGGAAGCGAAGTGCCTGGAGCGGTGCGTGAGGCGAAGTCTTGAGTTCGGATAAGGGGGGCCCCGAACTGTCATAGGACGGGCCTGTTCGGGTCTCTGCTTTGTGCGACTCGGGGCCAAAGGGAGAGTTCGGGTTCCTCGTAGGGAGTTCGGGCACCTTGCAGGGAGTTCAGGCTCCTTGTAGGGAGTTCGACCATTAAGTAGGGAGTTCGGGCACTCTCTAGGGAGTTCGGACCGCTGGTCTCTTCCCTTTGGCGTTTGTACCCTCGATACGCTGTTTTAAGTGCCGAGCTATTTACTTTTTTGCCACGTGGCATGATTTGCGAGGTTGGGCCAAATCTTCCTTCATCAGAAACAAACACCAAGTGCAGTTTTACCATTTGATTGATTCCTTTATTTCTATTTTGTGGGTTTTACTAACATCAAACCAAACAGCAAGTGCAAGTTTTACCATTTGATTGATTCCTTTATTTCTATTTTGCGGGTTTTACCAACATCAAACCAATTTCCAATTCAAGATCAAGCTATGAAAATAATAACATTATACATAAAGAAGACAGAGAGTATGCCATATAATTTCATAAGAAACCAAAAGAAAGCCACACAAACCCTTTATTGATTCCAAACTGCAATAAGGAAACCAAGTAAATGGAGGCGGCAAAGCAAAAGGTGCAACTGGTAAGCTTTGCTTTGCCTGCAAGACATGCTTGGTTGAAGAACATATTCTGCTGGGAAGTAGAAAACTCATTGCTTCACATTAAGCAATATTTTGGTCTCCTTTCTTCTTTCCTTGTTAATTTCATATTCTCTCCATCAGCTGCAGGTTGCTGTCACCTGCTCATTGTACAATCCCAGAAAGGCCTTGTTTGTTACTCCATCGTGAGTCCAGAACAGTTGTAATTGAACAACAAAATGGCTGAAGCTATTGTCAGTTTTCTGGCAGAGGAAATCTTGAAAAAAGTGGTTTCCATTGCTGCTCAGGATTTGGGTCTTGCTTTTAGAGGCTTCAAGAGGGAGCTTAAAAGGCTGGAGCGCACCTTCACCATGATTCAAACTGTGCTACGAGATGCTGATAGGCGTCTAGTAGAGGAAGAAGCCGTGAGGCTTTGGTTGATAAAGCTCAAGGATGTGGCTTATGACACCGACGACATGTTAGATGAGCTTGCATACGAATCTCTCAAACGCGAAATGGAAACCAGAAACATTGCGATGAACAAGGTATGCGAATTTCTTTCTGTCTCAAACCCATTTGCATTTCGTCTCAAGATGGCTTATAGAATTCGAAAGATAAACCAGACATTAGACGAAATTTCTAGGGACAAGGAAAGATTCCAATTTATTGCTGGAGCCATGGTTACAGCTCCTGATTACAGAGAGGGCCGAGAGACCTCTTCGATCATCTATGACTCAACAACAATTGTTGGAAGGGATGATGATAAATCAAAGATAGTCGATTTGTTAATTAGCTTAAACAATCAAGAGATTGTTTCAGTCATTTCTATAGTTGGAATGGCAGGGCTAGGGAAGACCACACTTGCTAAATTAGTCTACAATGATGATCTGGTGATGATTAATTTTGATTTAAAAATGTGGGTCTGTGTTTCTGATGATTTCAATGTGAAAAGACTACACAGAGAAATCATAGAATCAGCCACAGGAGCTAGGTGTGACATATTGAACCTGGACACCATTGAAAGAGAACTCCAGGACAAACTCAGAGGCAAGAGATTTCTACTGGTACTGGATGACGTTTGGAATGAAGATGGTGAAAAATGGGAGCATTTGAAGATGTCTTTAAGAAGCACTGCTGGTAGAGGTAGCAAAGTCCTTGTGACTACACGCAACAACAATGTTGCATCAATCATGGGTGCTCTCTGTGTGCATAATCTGGTAGGGTTATCAGATGAAGACTGTTGGTTCATATTCAAGCAAAGGGCATTTGGGAATGCAGGAGCAGTGGAGACTCCCACTTTGGTTTCCATAGGAAGAGAGATTGTGAAGAAGTGTAAGGGTGTTCCACTAGCAGTGAAATCAATGGGAGGCTTGATGCAATCTATGAAGGATGAAGATGAGTGGGTGTCCATTCAAAACAATGAAATTTGGGACCTACCTGAACACCAAAGTGGGATTTTACCTGCATTAAAGTTGAGTTATGATCATTTGCCATCACATTTGAAGCAATGTTTTGCGTATTGTTCGATATTTCCCAAAGATTGGAAATTCGAGAAAGAGATGTTAGTACAAATGTGGATAGCTGAAGGATTCCTTCAACCATCCAAAGGAAAGAAGCAAATGGAAGATATCGCTAATGAATACTTTAAGCATTTGTTCTCAAACTCCTTCTTTCAAGATGAAGAAAAGAATAGATTTGAAGATATAAAAACATGCAGGATGCATGATCTTGTGCATGACCTTGCACGATTTGTTTCGGGGTTTGCATGCTCAGTTATGGAGCTTGGAAGGGTTGAAGACATCTCCAGCATTCGTCATTTGTCATTGGTTTCCGGCGATCATACAACAACAGTTCTGAGAACTTTGTTAAAGGCAAAGAGATTGAGAACTCTTATTTCACAAGGAACTCTACTTTCCACCAAAGTCTTTAACAGTATGCTCTTAAAGTTTAAGTATCTGCGTGTGCTTGATTTAAGTGAAACAGGGATTGATGAGTTGCCATCTTCAATCAGCAAAATGAAACACTTAAGGTACCTAGATGTCTCCAGGAATAACATTGAAGCATTGCCCGAATCCATGACTGGCCTCCACAATTTGCAGACACTGAAAGTTGAAATGTCTACAAAGCTTCCCAAAGAAACAAGAAAGTTGATAAACTTGAGACATCTTGTAATTACAGCCTCTTTTCTTGTACTTACAAGATGGGCTAGTGTCTCCATGGAGATGCCCATTGGGATAGGGAGATTGAGTTGCCTTCAAACACTGTCTCAATATATTGTGGGTAAGGATAGTGGACGGGGTATTGGAGAGTTGCAAAACCTACCCCTTAGAGGTGAATTAAGTATTTCTGGTTTGGAGAATGTCAGAAATGGAGAAGATGCCAAGATAGCAAATTTGAAGGGAAAGCCAAATCTTCACACACTAAAATTGTGGTGGGGGTCTGATCCAATAAATTACAGCGATCATGGCGATGTCTTGGAAGGGTTGGAACCTCACCCAAATTTGAAATGCTTAGAGATTTACTCTTTTAATGGTTTGGAGTTCCCAAGATGGATGATGAGTGGCTTGCTTCTCAAAAATTTGGTGGAGATTACCTTGTGGAGTTGCAATAAATGTGAAAATGTCCCAACCCTTGGGCAGTTTCCTTCTCTTAAGATACTTAGCTTGGTTAATATGGAGACTGTGAAGTATATTGGTAATGATTTCTATGGCAATGGCAGTGGAATGGCATTCCCTTCATTGAAGAAGCTTTGCTTATCTTGGATGGAGAATTTAGTAGAATGGTCTGAAATGGCGGTCTTCACTTCTTTCCCATGCCTTGAAGAATTGGCAGTTGAAGGCTGCATTAAGTTGAGAACTATGCCAAGTCGGTTTCCTTCTCTTAAGAAACTACACCTTAAAGGAACCACAAGTTTGATGCTAAAGTCAGCAGCTATGCACTTAGACTCTTTTCCTGCCTTAGAGGAGTTAAGAGTTGGTGAATTTTCTGATGAGCCAGAATCATTTCCAACAGAGTTTGGGGTGATTGTTCAACAGCTCATGTCCCTTCAGAGATTAGAGATTTTGGGTTGGGCTAACCTCAGGTCTCTTCCTCAGGAACTTCAACAGCTCATCAGATTGCAAGAGTTCAGAATTTGCAACTGTAGCTTTGTTGCCTTGCCAGAGTGGGTAGGGAATCTTGCTTCACTTCAAAGCTTAAGGGTTTACTGTTGCAATAATCTAATGTATCTACCGGAAGGGATGCGACGTCTCACCAATCTACAAAGGATGTGGCTTGAAAAATGTCCTGTCTTAACAGAAAGATGTTCCAAGGATACAGGTGAGGAGTGGGAAAAGGTAGCTCACATCCCAAAGATTTTACATCTCAACTGATTGATGAATGTATTTTTATTCTATGTATATGAAGATCATACCAGATCAGATGATATGTGGCGTCTCTCTCTCTCTCTCATACACATAACCACATCAATTATATTTTCACTCTCTTAAATCTTAATCTCTCTGCTATTTCTCTTTGTTTTACAGTGGAGCACTGCTTTTATGTATTAAGACGGTTCAGAGCTAAAAATTCCTAAACAAGAGAACCGGCAAACCTACCCTGCAACAGAGTAGGGTAGCATATGGTGATGAAGCTGGCACATACCATTAACATCCAAGTGACATCTTACCTGGACTAAAGGTTGAATGTGTAATCAAATGAAAAGACGAAACAGTAGGGTAGTACTTGTTAGAAAGGGAGGGGGGGCTATATTTATTTCAATTTTTTATGATCCCGATTTTGAAGAATTTATACTAACCCAACCAATGTCAAATTAGGTTCATAATTCTCGCACCAACCCTAAGTCCCTGACCCCCAATTTGATTTTTTGGGTTCGGACTAACCCGGTCCAAATTGCATTATGAGATCGTACATTTACATATAAGTTGGGGTGTAAACGGTATCCAAGTATCCTATTTCAATTTCAATATCCGATATAAATGAATCGAATTCGGATAATTCGATTAATTTAATGGTCGAATTCAAATTAAGTTTCAATATCAATTAATTTATTGAATTGAATTTGAATATAGACTTATTCGATTCAATAAATATCTGTAATATTGGATTACGTGTTTTGTACTCTTAATACTCTTAACCAACGTTTTCGAACCATCGTTGACCCGGATGGTCGGACCGTTTGGATTAAAAACCGGTCGCTCGAATGGTTTCGGGTTTTCTTTGAACCGTCATTTAGTAGAAAAACATTGACAAAGTCAAAAAACCGTCGACCAGGCCGGTGAAACCGTTGACCTATTTGACCCAGCCAACGGTTAGCGGTTCAGTATTTTATAAATTCTGTTTTTTTTAAATAAAAATAAAACAAAAATAAAATGCCAAATCTATCCTAACATCTAACCTTCGAAGGTCTTATCCAGTTAGCCTCTTAAGGTTTTGTTTTGCCAAACCCAAAACCAAAAGCCTTCAGGCACCGATACACCGACACCACCCTTCCTAGAATCCGAGCAAACACCCGCCGATGACCAAAGTTGTAGAGGCTTCACTGTGGCTGCCGTCGAACACTGTGAAACCAAAAGCTTTCACTCTTTTTCAACTGCATCTTGAAAGGAATGGCTCCGGCGATTATCTTCGCAGCGGCTACCGGCGAACATTGTGGACTCCAACCTCCGGCGACTATCTTCAATTCTTCACTGCAGCTGCGGTGAACACTGTGATTTTTCAGGTAACTAAGTGAGCTGGTTACCACTGTTCAGTTCTGAACCATTAACTTGTTTAAACGTTTTGTTTCTCATTTGGTTTTACCTCTTCGCTTCATTGTACTAAACAAAAAGTGAGCTGGTTACCACTGTTCAGTTCTGAACCATTAACTTGTTTAAGCGTTTTGTTTCTCATTTGGTTTTACCTCTTCTCTTCATTGTACTAAACAAAAAGTGAAAAAAGAAGCAGCTCATACTTTTTTGATTGAAAATTTCCTTTTGTAAAACTACAAAAAGTTATATCTTAGAATGAGTATAGGACCTATAGGTTCAGATTTGGTTATCCTTGTACAGGGCTTTGTACCTTTTTAATATTTTTAATGAAATAAAAAAAGCCTTGGATGCTTGGTGGAAGGTATGTTCAGCTGGTAAATTTTATCTAATACTTTGTAATTTTCTGTATTTTTTTATTTTTTTGTATATTTTTTTTGGAAATTTTCTGTATTTTTGTATTTTATTATTTTATTATTTTTATATTTAGATATTTTTATTTTTTCATATGTTGTTCTTTTTTTCTGTATTTTTGTATTTTATTTAATTTTTTATGATATTTTTATTATATAAATATTTTTTGTTTTTTAATTTATTTATAATGTTACGGATTAAACCGTTTGACTCAGATGGTTGAACCGCCAAACCAGAAAATGGTGCTTAGAACGGTTCCCCGTTCACAAAAAGTATTAAGTGTTATCGAGACTAAAAGATACAAGGGTCATTTTTAGAAAAAAAAGGACAAAACACATTAATGATACAATAGTTCAATGATTGTTATATTATTCTTCTTGAACGAGACAATCACCCATTAACCCCTCCCTTTCCCCACTTCACTTTGATAGTTTGAAGAGACAGTTTCTTCTCCCCATCTCTTACCTGCAACCCCTTAAGATCAATAGAGCAAAGTGAGAAGACCATTAACACCATGGATTGTTTGAGAAGTCTCAGGTGTGGCCCGTTGGGGCTGGCAAACAAGACCAGATGTGGCCAAATGATCAACTCTTAGCTGTTTCCTCTCTTCACCTCCGCTTCATTTCCCTCTCCCTTCCTCATTTTATCTTCCTCCTTTTTCGCTGCTTTTTAATTTGCAATCAGAAGTAGCATGGAGAGGAAAAAAAGGAGATAGCACCAGGTTTTGTGGCATTCCAACTTCTACCATTCGAGTCTTAGCTTCTACCTGCTGTAGCCATCCAAGCTCTTCATCTCCTGCTTTCTCTGTTATTTTTTTTAGAATTTTCAGGTTTTTTTTTTTGTTTTTCTTTTATTCTTATTCTTGGTCTTTTGAGTTTGTTTCTAAGTTAGGGTTTTTTTCTTGTGTAATGATTTTTTGATTTATAATTTTCAATATTTCTAAAATAGCCGAATTCAAATAAATTCGAATATTCGATATTTTAAACGAATTCAAATTTAATTTATACTTTTGAATGACCGACGGATATAAGGAGACTACGGTGATAGAATGGAAGTGCACGAGAGAAGTGCAGCGGGACTCTGTTCTAAGTTCATTGTTTTTTGAGTGACCATTAAAGTAATTGCATACACAGTGTTAGTGAGGCTAGATTGCATCTAGCTTTCCAGATATGCCACATTACAATAGCACATTGGGCAAGAGTTGATAATTATCCAGAATCCTGTGGGTTGTCAATTTCATTCCATTGAGAAATCCATCCCGTAACCTTCCAACCTTGGTGAAAATCTGTGTGAAGACCCAATGGTGAACCCAGTTAGACCCGTCTTGGAGCTTCACGTTGAAATTGCTCATGTCCAATGGTCTCTTCATGATTAGAGCAAATGCTACAAGAATGGTCGATATTGCTGATCCTTTTTGCCAATACAGTTTCACGGGGCTATTGTTGATGGATCTCCATAGAAACAGGTGAACTTGACATGCTCCCGACACCAAATTGCTAAGCACCCACTTCTCTTTTTTAACTTCCAAAACGAAGAGTCATGTCTCATATATTTAGACTTGAGGACTAAGGCCCAAAGATGTTTGGTGAAGATAAGAATCTCCAAATGAACTTCACAATATGTGCAATATTTGAATGCAGGATGTCTCTAAAGCCTATGCCCCCTTCATCTTTACCTTCCGTAATAGGAGCCTAATGATGTGTGATCTGATGCTCCCTGTTGGCAGGCAATTCAGATGTCGGATTGAGTAGGTCACTTGGTCGAGCTGCAAGAGAGAGAGAGACCAGAGTGTCTGGGTTGCTTTACTTGGGGTGGGCATTCCGATGCTTAAGTTAGCAAACTGGAGATGTGATTGCAAGAATGCAAGAGAGCTAGAGTGCTTGGAAGCTAAATCGCGCGTACCTTCTAAGGTTGGAGGTGAGGCCCTTATATAGGCAGGTTGCCGTGAGCCTTACGAAACACGTCTGGGATTTCCAACCCGTCTAGTTTGGAGGTGGTTTCATTCTTGGAGGTGGAATGTGCGTAAGAGGGTAGTGCTTATCCAGTTGTGCCCGAAATAGGCGGGGTGGTAACCGGTTCTTCTGATGTGGTGACGTGATCTCGGGGAAGTCGAAGACGATAACCTGCTTAAGGAGGTCACCTAGCAGGTTGCTAGCTGAACTCAAGTCAAGTCGGCAGAAGCGGGTCGCCTCTCATGCTGACCTGATGTGTGATATCGTGCCAGGGCCAGGGTAGTTCAGTCGAAGTAGGTCGACACTTACACTGACCATAGGTCTCGCCTAGTTGTTCGTAGTTCGATCTACTGGGGAGGTATCGAGGTCACTGATGCAGTTGTGAAGTGTCCGAAGTGGTCTATTTATGTGGTGCCGAGGTGTCACCCAGCTATTCTGCGATGCCACATGTCATGATGTCATAAGAGGACCAAATTACCCCTCATCAATTGCCCCCCACTCCCAAGTCTGGGGTGGTTAGTTTGGCGAGGGAGTAGTTATAACTTGAGGTGATTTAGTCCATTCTCCATCCTCGTTTATGGTCCGATCAGTGGTTCTGGATCGAGTTAGTTTAGTCGGTCCAGCCTAGGCGCAAGGTAGTGTATCGGTTACGTGCGAACGCCATCCAACTATTAGGTCACGCAGACGTAAAAAATGCATTGAACTAATTTCATCTCGGAATATGAATAACACGCCCTTGTGAACCATTGGATCCAACCGATCTCAACCATCCATAGTTCGATCATCCGTCTATAAATAGAACCCTCAGGGGCCCTCTTTGGAGTTCTTAGTTAGATCGCGGAGCTTGACATTATTGTTGTGATCGATGTTGTCGACGAGTTCGGTTTGTTCATCTTAGGTGAGTCATTTTCCTTAGCTCCATTTCATTCACATTGTCTAGTAGTGAGTCCGGGGAAGAGAGGGGTCTGTCCTGCTAGGCGAAGGAAGGGACCTTGGCTCAAGACTAGCGTGGTTCTCATAAGAGGACCTCATCTTCATGTAGGGTTAAAGCATCGGACTAGTTTTGTCCCTCCGAGTTCTCTGCTCATAACTATTAGATAATGCATGCCCTTAGCTCCAATCAGCATGATGTACATTATGACATTTATTGTAAATGAATAAAGTACATATTTGATTCATGTTATTGTGGTGTGTTTCTATGTAATACCCTTAAAGTAGACACATATGAGACTCGTGTTAGTTTAGAACCTTCACAGCCGT